TACAACAAACCAAGAAGAATATTGAGAATAAATATAAGAATAGGACCACTTGATGGTGCTGAACTTGTATAACCTATTAATTCATTAGTTAAATTTACACCTATTGATTCGGAAAAATCTAGTTTATATTGACGAAGATCATCTCTAGTTAATATTCCACCTTAAATATAATAATAATGTGTAAGTGAGCTATTCAAATTCATATGTGAATACCTTTATTTTGAATTTCATGAATAACTTGATCTCCTAAATCTCCATTATAAAAAATATCAACACCTTCTTCACTTATTCTACGTAATGTTTTAGCCAATTTAAGTCTTTTCATTGTATTTCCTTCGCGATAAACTTCATTTGTTAAATTATTTTTAACAAATATTTCTCTAAACAAATAAATGTTATTCTTCAAAATCTTTTCAATATTATATTCACAGACATAATTATCTATATTAATTCAAACTAAATTTATTTTTTCGAAAAGAATATGTGTCCTCAATTACTCGTATATTACATTGAAAATTTGAATAGGTAAAATAATCAAAGATAATTCGAAGAATTTTTTTTTTGAAATATTTCAGTAAAGAGTTGTGTATAACAAACCTGAGTTGTGAATCATTGAGAATGCGTTCTTTATTGATTTGAATAGCATGAGCAAGAGCGCGACTGACTTGAAATCCTTTTTCACATAATTGTATTGTTGGAGTAAATAACGTTGACCAAGAAACACCACCACCAAATTCTTCATATGCTTTACGATATGCAAGTAATTCACCAGGTGTAGCAATTGACAATGGACCTATCAAATGGAATATTTTCGTCAAAATAATAATAATAATATTATTAGTATAATCATACCGATCAAAGACATGTTTTCTTTTCCAATAAACATTGATCTATTAGAAGACAATGGAGCCGATTCACGTTCAATAATACTATATGCTTTTCCACGTTTTCTTTAAATTATACATAAAACAAGGAATTTGTCTCTCTTACACTAATTATTCTAATAACCAAACCTTGAATAAATAATAAAAATACATCCACCTCCAATACCCATTGAATGTGCATTTAAAACTCCATTACAAAGAGAAGCAGCTATTCCAGCATCAGCTGCTTTTCCACCTTTTAATAATATTGTTTTTCCAATACGTGAACATTCTTCATTATCAACAGCAACAGCAGCTCGATTATATTTACCTAATTTTGATGAACCGACTATTTTATAGGATTCATGTTTTGATCCACATTCACCATTTTTTGATGATTTTGCAATACCTATATAAATCAAACGCTTTTTTTTCTAAATAAATCTATCTAAAGAGACTATTATAATTGACCTAATTGTCTTTTCAAAACAAATCCAAGACCAACAATAATACTTGTTAGAATAAGAACAGTGGCAATCACTAACAATAAAATCAATAATTTCTGCCTAAAATCTAAACTTCAATCGATGAAACATATTTAAAAAAAAAGAAATCGTACATTATTGTCAGTGATCGTCAATGACTGTATGTTTTCATACTAAGGTCAAAGAGTAATATGGAAGTGGAAGCAAACGATAAATTATTCATCTAACTATGTATTATTGTCAGTGAGAGTCAGAGGAAGAAAAAAACTGATATAATATCTTTCTTTTTGCTTTTCTCGATTGACGAAGATTTCATTGGATGATTTTTATTATCTTGACCGAAACCAATCAACAATAATCTTTACTAACTATCTCAATATATACTCATATTCTCTTGGCTTATGTCAGCTGTTCTTTTCGCGAAGAAGATAGTAACATGCGTAAGCAATGATTATATACATTAGAATACAACAGATAATGTCTTTATCTATCACTGAGTTGTCCAATATTCCGTCTTTCTCGAATTTCCTGCGAATGTTTCTCATTTTCATGTTTCCAAAATTTTAGTTTTTTTGAGATTTTTTGAAATAAATCTTACTAATAATGGTATCAACTATTTTTTTATTATTTTTGTTCTTCTTGAATTGTTGGCTTATCTTATATTTTGGGAGTGATAACAGTGTTTAAAAAAGATACTAGATTCAATCTAAAAGTGTTTCTAAACTAGACTGAATCGCTCATATTTATCTAAAACTCGTTTGTTTAACAATATTGGCAAATGAGGATGGGTGAGTATGCTTATACGTAGACAAGTAACAGCCACAACATCTATACCGTGAAGCTACTTTCTTTAGTTTTGACTTTTTTGTTTTCTACGGTTAATTGTACTTTTCCTTGCATAGCATTGTCTTTTCAAACGAAGTAACTGTTGTGATTTTCTCTATTCTTCATAAACACTTATCTAAATAAATGAAAATTAATCTAGGCAAATTTATTTTTGTACCAGAAAGAGTTCAACTTAGGAGTATGGGTGAGTAGATGAACGTATCCACACCCACAGCCTATGCAGTGTAATAATCAATCGGACAGAGATTCGAAAATCATTTTATTTCTTATATTCAACTTTACTTGATGTAAACAAAACATTTTGTATCTTCTTAAACAAGGAATTAAAAGAAAAGAGCACATGAGTATTTTTGTATTTAATGTTCTTTACATACTCTGAATCCCATCATCGCTGATATATATTTTTAACAAATATTATTGCAGATTTTGATTGCAACAAAATAGCATCATTTTGTTACCTAAAATCACTCTTTTGAGCGTGCACCCAGGCATGAGTGAGGATATGATGATAGATGTCGATGTACAATAACCACTCACCTTTTCACCCACATACCATATTCGTAACTATACACCTACTTTGGAAAAGGATCAACATAGGAAGAAGACCATAGAATTCTATTCAAATAAAAAAGTAGGTTGCTTCTTGATTGAATGCTATTGAAAAAAAAACTGTAGTTATTGAAATACTAGCTTTAACAAGAAAATAATCAAGTAGATTGTTTTTTCGTTCTGCTTGTAAATCAAAGCCTGCTATGAATCGACTCGCATCTAACTCGATTGTAAGAATGTAACAGTTACATTCTTAATAGCACGTCCACATCCGAAAGTTCATTCGTTTTGATTTTTATTTCAGTTCGAGATACGACTATTGAATAGTTTATCTAGCGCACTACCAACATTATATTGGACGATTAATACGTTGTAAAACTCAGTTTATCGTCATACATCGAAACCTAAGATCATCTTGTCGAAAAGCACGTTGGAGAACATACAAGAATAGTCATGAACAATTGGAAAGTTAACATTGGATCAGCATTATGTCAGTAAAAACAATAAACTATTGGCTATTGCTAGTAATTCGATAGGCATGTAAATGCAAGATGAATTAATATCAATCAACATACAATCGATCTTTCTTTTCTAGTAAAATATCACAAAAAAAGAATCATTTCATGCAAGACCGTACAGTACAAAATCAGTTGTTATCCCCTCTTTTTCTTCGAAAGCGTCGATAGAAGATAATTTCCTGACAAGTATTTTATTGACTTTTGAAATGTTTTTGAGGAAAATTTTTCAGATGTCATCGTCTCACGTATTTGAAAAATTTACACTCTACGAATTCATTGGTTTTTCACAACCTTTTTAAATTACTAAACTGGAGCATAGCCATTTTCAACAATCGATTATATAATAAAGGATAATCTTTTGAAGTTAAGTTCATAAGAAGTGATCTATTATATTATTGATATTGAATAGCCAATGTTTCATCTCGACAGTTTCAATAATACTTGAAAGATTTTCTTCTTTGCCGGTTAAGTATAAAATAATGAATAAGTTTAGGCTATTACAATAAGAAAACTGAGTCTTAGCACATCATATATGTGTTCTCATCGTCTAAGCGTAATTTATTAGATTGTGATTTTAAAAAGTTTTCAGTTTCAATCGCATTATCAGTAGCAGTCTCATTGTGCAAAATGAGTTGAATGGTAAAAATGATAGCGGTCTTCTGATGAAATAAGTTTTCTAATGAGTATTGGAATATGTGCTGAGAAAAATAAACAATACAAACTAAGACAGATGTGGTGAGATTTCTTAAAAGAACAACATGACTCCTTCATCTTTCACACTTTTATCCCATAGAAGTTGCATTGGAAGCTTTTCAGCATTGAATATTATTAGAGAATCTGAATTATTTAACTTAAGCGGTATATTTCCAAATTGTTATTTGTTTTCAAGGATATTTCTTCTTTCATTCTCTCCTAGTCATCATACATGATACGAACGTTGCTATTTTTATAGTTATGAGTACTGTTAGCAGTACCAAAAATGAATAAATGTCCATGAATATCGTTGATAATTTCTTCGAGGAAAAGAAGCATCAATAAACAACAGTCATTTGAGACAGCAAGAAAAATATTCATCTTAACATCGTATAGTGATGTCAATAGAAAATAGTGATTAAAATAGAAAAAAAACCGAAGTGGTCCTATATTGCTTTATAAATTTTGAGTAGAATAGTCAGAAGACATTGTCGATGATCATCGTAAAAGTAAATAAAAGAATTGCAGTGAAACATGCTTTCAAAAACATATCATATGGAGATGTGTTACCTATCTAGTAGTTCAAAAACACTGCGTGTCTACCTAACGAAGGTTGACATTTCATGGAACTACACAATAATATAAAGATTCCGATAGAAGATTGTGTTTGATATAGCAGTGAACAAATGAGTTCTATTTCAGGCAAAAAAGAGGAAAATGTGTTTTTTGGATAATTTAAGGTGCTTTATTAGTTACTTCTAGCATGATATTAGAAACAAACTCCACAATATAAATAAAAACAATACATCTCTCTGTTTTAGTTCAAGATGAAATCTAGAGTTATCTTAGTTGTATTCATGTGCTTATTAATGACCGTCAAGAACAGTCCATTATTTGATGAAAGCGAAGAAAGCAATGATTCAAGTGATATTAATGAGGAAGAACGAAATATGATTAGCTTTGACCATCAAAGAAGATCGCATTTTGCTTTTCTGGATAGAGGCTATTCGAAGGATTCATGGAATGTATATTTTGGAGGTAGAAAAATGAATGGTGCTAGTTCTCATTCATTTCAATCACTTAGTGATGGCTATGGAAAGGATAGCTGGAATGTATATTTTATGGGTGAAAAAATTCCTGGCGCATCTTTTTATTCATTACAGTACAGTGGTATGAGAAGAAACAGACCGTGATGAAATGATTTTCTGGATAACTATTGATCTATTGACACAATGATACGTAATTTTAATACAGAAATCGATAAAAATAAATGTTTCACATAACCTGAATAGCAATTATCAGTTTATCAAATAACTCCATTATTTCTGACACATTGTACTGGTTCAATATGCCAATAGTAATAATAACAAAGATATATTGATGCGAAAGCCAAAATAAAAGAGCGCTATCAAATGATGATTCAGTTTTTGACAGTCAAAGGTTTCAGAAACAAAAAAAAATATGAATATTATCATTGCATATTGTTCACATAAAAAATATCAAGTCTGCTATTCTGTTCTTCTTGTAATACTTCTTCTCTCGTCAGTTGAACATAGTAGCGATTATGGGTGTATCAAGGTCCTCTTTTGAAACACACTTGCATCCACATCCATCTGCATTCTTCGCTTATCGACAAGTTGAATCTATATTGATGATCTATCGTATGACAGACACCAAAGTAAAAAAATACAGTATGTTACTGTTATACACTTCACTTCTTTTCATAGTTTTGTCAATAAACGAAATAATACCTGGTGTGGATATATTTGAAAAGAAAATTCCTCTCACATTTATAACACTCGGTTTTCTTATCAAAAGTAAATAATGATCAAATTGAGCTACATCGTAATAAGATCAATAACATAACTAAATGAACATCTTTATACTTAGAATTGTCATCAATACAAAACAAAGAAAAACTTTATTATGAAACTTGTTTACATGAATGACTCCATTTATCCGAATTAATACAAACAGTTTCACTTTCTTGCTGTTCTTTCAGTATTTGTTCTGATTCAAACAATACTACTTAGACCTACATTTCCAATTTTTGTAAAGGACTTCATATCGTTACAAAACAAATAAACCAATAAATATTTAAAATCACTTATTTCTTTTCTATCTAACTTTATTTGCTTCACATCTTTTGAAAACTTGTCAAAAAAGAAATCAGTAACACATATTTGTATAACAAAACGTTTAATAACAAAGTCGACAACTTACATAATCCACAATACGTTCAAAATCACCTTTTTCAATGTTTTATTTTTCAAAAAACTCAAAGACTCCGACATTTATATTTTATTGTTGAGGTAGCATTGGGTATCATATGATAGTTTATTTTATCGTGTTGTTAACAATAATTAATTTCATCTTCGTAATAGAGTTTTTACTTCTTCATTCAAACATATTCAAAGTAACAATCGTCTACAAAGGAACTGTCACAATACTATGCTATGGTCTCCGAAGAGTGAACTTAAGAAATATACATCAGCTTTTTCGTCGTTGTTTTACAATATTCGAGCACATCTTGATGATTGAAGATACTTCAAAATGATTATAGACTTGGTCGCTTAATCTTCGGAAACTTTTCAATAATCTAGTAGAATGAAGAATATGGCTGATTCTCAGAGCTATTTCCAACTTGTAGCTATACATGATCACTTCATTAGCAAAAGAGTCGTTAAGCATTCTCTATGGGAAAACTTCTTTTCTCAGATAATGGGTTGAAATGTGATAAGTCTTTTGCCCCATCGGACACGATGGATTGGGACGGGGCTGTCCAAACCGGCTTGAAATTGTTTTTTTATGAGTTGTATATATTTATGATGGACATCAGATTTCTCAAGAAAATATTCAGTCTATTTCATTTTCTATGTAGATCGTTATTTTCGAAGCAGTGATCGACGATATTATGAAGTTATTCTTTATGATGGGTAATGGCTGAAAATTTAACGTATTTAATAGATATTTCTCATTATGAAAATAATTTCTTTCATTTGCAGATGAATCAGTCTGGAGAAATGTACTTCTTTTATTATTGATCGAAGATGGTAAGGCGGGTTTAGGAATACACCTACTTGGCAAGTTCTCTTTGCTTTTCTTCATTAGTTTCGGGGAAAATGTATCAAAAATTACTCAATTGAGACTATGATGCACAAGAACAATGATATACCCGAGATATGACTATCTCAGATTTTAATGCAGTCATTGCGTGGAATAATAACCGTGCCATGATATCCAATGGCTCCTTACGTATAAAAGTCGAGAAACATGCTCTCTCCAATGCAGGAAGCCCATATCAAATATTAAACTTCCGCTAGGTTCTGCTTATGAATTAGATTTCGATGTCAAATTTCATAGTCAATTTGATTGGGGTCGTGGTGAAAAGGTTGGTTTCGGTTTTGGTATTGGTATTGGAAATGGAAATACAGGATGTAAAATACCAACTGATGGAGCAGGTGGTAGTTTTTGTCTAGTATGGTACTGTCATCATCCAGGAACCAGTTGAGTCTATTTCCGTCCGTACCTTTATTATGAAGCAATGCCCTGACCCTGTGGAAACTGTTTCAACAACACCTATCCTTCAAAAGGTATAAATATTCAGTAGAGAAAGTCATTGATAAAAAGTTCATACAATAAAAAATATTAACTAATATTACCATTCATTTCGAACATTTTTTCTATCATGTATTTGTCTGGATTTCAGGTAGTCTCGAAAAAAACAAGTGGTACAATATTTATATGTATATTAAATCGAATACAGGAAATAGTGTTAATGGACACGCACAAATAAAAATCAATGGTGAGATACTGTTTGATCAAAGTATTCGTTGGACAACAAATGATATGAAACGATTCATCAACAATCTATCTTTTCACACGTAATTTTTTTTGTCTTTTTCTTTTCGTTTGAAATAACTGACTATTTTTTCTCTGACAGGTTTCGAGGTGGAAACGATGATACATGGAAATCTAGTACTGATGGTTATATTTATTTTGATAATTTATATGTTCGACAAAACAGTTAATAAATGGAAATTTTTGTCAAATGTTTTTTTTATAAAATCACGAATATTTGTTAATAATAAAAGTTGTTGCGAACAAATTTGTTTTATAGTACTATGCAAAGAATAGAAGTGTTTGTTAATAACTTAATATAAAAAACTTAATCTTACAAAAGCGTTTTCAAAACTCAAAGTTTTGTTCAAAAATTCAGTAACGTATTGTAAACAAGAAAGTATAGAACAGCGCCAAGTGCAACATTACATAACGTACTGCCATATCTCGATTCATGCCTTGTCACATTAACTTTATTTTCTGTACGCCTATAAAGAAAACATCGTCTTCTTGACAGCTGCTTGTTATCAGTTGCAGAGATCAAAGATGAATAATGTTGTGAAACTAACGGTGTTGGTATAGTTTCACTTGGCAGTGGCTCTGTTCTCAGTAGCCGATATTAAATATCAAAACCAATGGAAAGAACTCCACACAGTACAGGATGTTAGAGTTGATAAAGAATATACAAAGAAAACACAGTTAAAGAATTATTGTCTTTATCTTATTTCTAAAGATTAGTTGTACAGATATAGTCGTCAATAACAGCGAAAGAGTTAGTAAAATGAGTTTTTTTCATCTTATGCGCTCAAATATGAGCGTTTTGGCCGGATGACCGACAATAGTTTATCAACATTAGAGAAAATAAACACTGAAGCATGGTAGATTGTGAACTATTGCTTGTGTTAAGTGGTCTAATGGCTTATTCTATTTAATCTTATTGAAAGAATTGGTTAATTTACGATGTTCATCAAAATTCGGTAATGTATTAAATACGTCTAACTATCCTTCACGAAATGAGATACTGTGTTGTGTATCACTCTACTACGCAACAGGTGGTTGATGACTAGATTTTACTGACGAGCATTGTTTTTCGTGATCAAACAGTATCATATCGATGTGATCCATGCCAGTGAACATTTGAGAGAATGGAATTAAAATAGAAGGATTTCTCTCGTGAGATAAAAGAACAGAAGAAAATATAGTCTGGAAAAAAATGAGGATATACACAAAGCAGAACAAAAGAAACTATGACTACAATACGTTTGATTAGTAATACGTTTCTTTATTAAGATTAGTAGTGTCAGTCTAGAAGAAAAAGCTATCGATTGATGATTTTCTTATGAATAAAAGCCTTGTACAGCTGTCTATTACTAATAGCAAAGAAAACTTAAACCTAACTAACAAGATCAAACTGAGAACATATTGGGATTTTTCTATCAGAACTCCACGTGGAATCAGATGGGATGAAAAATTTTCCATCCCATACTGCTCTACCCATCTCACAAGGTGTCACTAGTGAGATAGCTAGAAAACTTTAAGCAATGAGTCACTTCCCAGCCAAATTATCTCGAGTGGTGGATAGAAATGTACAATTAAAAATCGATTCGGTTGCAATTTCTTTTTCAACTTTTAAACATCACAAAATTTGATGTTTATTGAAATGAAGTATCGACCTGTCCACGTAATGATTCATGTATTTCAGCAAACTCAAAAAAATGTGAGATTCATGCTCTCATTATAGAATTTCTACGTTGTCAAAAGGATGATATGAGACGTTTGCTTAATTATTCTTTCAGAGATATTATCAATTTATTCATTTCGGAAGAAATAAACGACGATGAAAAAATGCCGATTTTAAAAGCGTTTTTCCGTTACGACAATTTCTTCTATATATGAGGCGAAGCTATAATATTTTTGAATTGTTTTCTTTTTCTATGCATAGCTCGTCATCTCAGTTACAGCTTTTCTATAGAAAAGTTTCTAAACCCACTTGCAGATGAGCTAAAATTTTTAGTTCTTTACACACCACTGAAACACAAAGTACATTTTTATTTATTCCATCACGGACATGTATGTCAGCCATAAAATTTAAATGAAAGACGAGATCTAGTGAAACTTTTATTGTGTGTAGAATAGGCGAACTTATATACGTTTTCAAAAAATCAACCGTATTAGATCTTAGTCTGTTGATGTATTTCAGAGGTAAGATGGAAAAACCGTTATTTCGCTATGCTTGGACAGGTCGGTACATTACTAACGACTATGAGGCTAACTCATTCGCCATTTTCCTACTATTTTATCAATGTACTCTTCAACTCTCAAATATCAGAATACATTACGTTAAAAAGCATACAAAGGCACAAAAAAAATCTGCCAAATATTGAATGAAATTGTTCAGATTGTCATTGAACAACCAACACTGATATTATCCGAAGACTTTCTGTCAGTTGTAAGTAAAAGCAATATCAAATCATTTGTTATTATTACAATAGGTCGAGTTAAGTTGTTACTTTACATGTTGCCTTATTGTTATTTGTTTTATCGAATCCTACATCTCACAGACAGTAAAATGCTAAACTACTCAGAGAAAGAACAAAAAATTATTTCTCACGTGCTTTGTTCGAACTGACAAGAAAAATCTCTAATTCGAAACGATTGTATTTTCTTTGCAGCAAGTTTTTTGTTAATGACGTTTGCCCCATTTGATAGAGTCGCTTCGTCCTACACAGAGGGTTAACTCTTATCGCTTATAATTGTTTATGTGTGATCTTGTATAATGAAAAACAACCAGCATCTATTTCGAAAGAGAAGTTCTACTAAGTTTTCACCTATCTTTTATGGAAAAAGGCAAATTATCAAATTCTTTGTACTCAATAATATTATTTGAAACCCGACACACATACACACAGCTTATCTGCGAAATATCCATACAAAACTGTTATTTTGTGCATTAAACATTAGATGAATTTTTTATAGAATCAAACTATTTATTAGTCGGTTTAGATGAGCTGTAATGCATACACATATATAAGACAATTTTTTCACTAGATGTTTTTCTTTTTCAAACGAAAGAAAGATTAAGTTTCTACAAAATTTATAAAGAAATATTTATAGACGTCAACTTATTCCGACATCAAAAATATGGATTTCATACGCACTTTTATTAACCATGAATGTATATAAAAGCATGCGGGCTAAAGCTTATCCCTGATGAAATAACAAGTTTTCAATGTATATTCAGTTCTAAACTCCACTCTAACAGTAAACTCATACTTTCGAAATTCAATTTGAAACATTTGCTCACATAAACACCTCAATTGAACTATTTTGTATTATAAAGTTCATAACTTCTGGATCAATTCTTTTTAACAGACGAAGTATTCCAATTATAGGTTTTTTTAAGATAGATAATCAGTAGAGAATGCATTTTTTTTTATAGCTTCATATCTTGAAGAAATTGACACATAGTTACGTACTTACAGTCTCTATTATGCATATAGTCACACACGACTAAATTTTGTTTTATTTCTAGCCCTAGCTTAGACAAAATTATTTCCGAATGACTTCAGACGAGGCCGAAACAAAGTCTTTGATACTCATATTGTGAGTATTTAATGATTTAATGATTTTAGGTACTAAATTTGATAAATTAAAATGACATGGAGCACATAAATACAGTCAGTGTAAAGTTTAAATAACTTAAACTTGAACAATCGGTTCAATATATATTTATCAATAACTATTACCAATTAAACATAATAAAATGTTATATTGATATATGCTTTAAATTTATATATAAGGAGTGGTATACTTAAATTTCTTGTCATGTAACTTTAGATTGTTTTTATTATATATCCATGAAATATTCTAACATATTTAAACGATATTTATTTGCTTCACAAATGAACAACGTATATATACAGAAGGAGTGATACGAATATCAATAACAGCAAAACTTAATAGAATAAACTAGAAACTTTTCATTTATTTGGACAAACATAATATGCATTGCTCGAATTATCAAACTACAACGATATGTTTTATTATGTTAAAGTAAAACTAAGTTACTATCAAAGTATCGTCAATCTTTTTTTTTAATAAAATGAAGCAAGAAATCATGGTGAGAGAATCTCTCAAGGAAAAAATATTTGGTTTCGAGAGACATTTTAAATAGAGTTGCAATAGTTTTTGTAGATTGTTTTGTTATAGGAAACGATATCATTAGAGGCATTTATCAGAGCATTTCTGAGTTGAAATTTTGTCTAGAACCTGAATCCATGGTTCGGATTCAAAGCAATTGTTTCTAACGACCTCATCGGAATTAAAAAAGAAGTCTAGATGTCAGCTCGATCATTTGACAACGGGAACAACTAATAGTTTGTTGTTTTTATCAATCTCGAGAGGATAACTCCGGACTGTTTTCATTTCATACTGTATAAGATAAGATTATTTCAAAAACTCAGCATCGTTTCAAAGTAGCAATTCAACGATATTCTCCATCTTGAGAAAGCTTTGATTAAAAATCTGAAAATTTGTTATAAATCAGTAAAAATCCACTTAACTTGATCGAATTTCTATGCGATTCTGTAAGCTTAACATTGAAATGTAAGAAGATAATCAACTAAAACATTCAATGAAGTATAGATCGGAAGCACATGTCAAAACGAGAACTACAGAAATGGAATATAGTTTTTATACACTTTTATTGGCTTACCCGAATTTCGCCAATAAGACTTTCGCCAACTGGACATTCGCCAATGGCGAAAGTCCAGTGGTACATTGGCGAAAGTCCAGTGGACTCTCGCCGATTGGCGGAAGTCACCAGGGTATATTGGCGAAAGTACACTGGACTTTCGCCATTGGCGAATGTCCTGTTGGCAAAAGTCTTATTGGCGAAATTCGGGAATCCCCTTTTATTGATTAAACTAAGAAACCAGAAATACAACGAAAAGATGTAAAAGACTCATTTATAGATTTCATACAACACAAAGATATTAGTTCTGTGTTCAATTCTTTATTTAGCTTTGGTGAACCTTGATGCATTTCTTTAAATATAAAAAAATATAATAGATACGATGATTTTTAAAACATTATTTACACATGTATATGAGATCAATAAAAATACTTATCATTTTAACTCTGAATTCTTTTGCATATAAATATGATATGATTAACAAGAACTACTAACTATGAATAGCTTTTGTTACATATGGAAATCACTAATAATGAAAAGCAAATTGGGTGATTTTTCAAAAGTACGTAGTAAACTTTAAAAAAAGTTGAATTTTAATTTAATTTATTGAGAATTTCACAATGGCTTGAAAATATTACTCAAAGTTTTTGACATCTTCCGTCCATGTGGATGACGAATAATAGTATGTTAAATAAATTTAATAAAATGATGACATTCTAACCATATTTGCAACGCAAGAGAATATTATATCGCGACCAAGTTCAAGTAACATTGCATTAAAAAAAAGTCCTTTGAACATTTCTTTAGAATACCAAACATGTCGTTATATTAAACATGTACTTCTATAGAAATCCTTAGTATGTATTTTTTTTGTCATTGGACTCACCCTCTTCCATCTTCAAAAATCAATCCTAGATCATCCATATTCAAATTGCAAGAAACTTTCAGGATACGCTGAAGTTATAGTTGACATGTTCTGTGAAAAATTTTAGTCGTACACTATAATGTATATATCAAACTCTTATTTACTAAATATAGTCGGATAATAAGATACATCTACCTAATTCTAAATCAGTTCACTGTTTGTGCACTAAAAATATGAATCATGACTTTCATATGCATCTTCTTTATTCTCCTAAATTTAAAAATATATTCATAATTGAAATTTTGAATAACAGAAAATATGATTCTATCACATAGTTTAGCTAATATGTTCAACTTCTTTTTTTTTTTAAGTATGCCAATATATGTGATAACTTTGTTGAATAGTTTTCTCCTCTCTGTTTATAAGAAATATGTAAAGAAAAAGTTTGTAAAGACAAGATCAGAGTATGATGGGTAAGAATATCATGAATGGAAGGATGAGATGTTTAAAAAAGTAAAATGAAATTTTTGAAAACATGTTTTCATTATCATCGCATATTTCATGAGAATCTTTTGTTGATTTTAATATTGCTTTTACTACTCCATAGTTTTTATCAAAACACAATAGCTCATCCATACTACTTGGTTAAAATCATAACGACGAAAATATTCTAAATCAAAAACTTTGTACTTCGATCGAGACAATACAAAATACAATAGAAAGAACAGATATTTTAATTGTCTGACTCAAAAGAGATTTTCACATCATCAGATACTGCATTAGTGATATTCTTGTTTAATAAGAATTCTCACAGAAAACCCTACTTAAGAAGAGTATCATTTAACATTAACAGAGTCAAATCTATGTAGAACATTTGTACATAGAAGATTAAGGGGACCCCTCCCCTTTCCGGACATGAAAATCAAAATTTTTTTGATTTTTTGTTTTTGATCGCTATCGATGCTTTGTAGTGCCCTCCATCGATCCACAAAAAATAATTTCCGTAGGTCGAGGTTTATGCCTTGAAAAACCGGTTTTTCGAGAACCCCTATGCCATAAAATATGATTCTTCATCTTTTTTCAATATAACTTTTATCTATGGTTAATNGTGTTGATGTGGATGTGGATGTTTCCTGTTTATCGGCACCCACACCCACACCCACCAACACCCACACCCACACCCTAGTTCAATAAAATTATTTTCTTGACCACTTCGTCTGAATTGATCAGTTATTTTATTTACCTTAATTTCTATGTCAGTACTATGTTTGGTTGTATGTCCCAGTATTAATTGTCTGACTTAATCTGCAAATTGTCGAAAGATTTTAATTGAATTATATTCTCAATCAGTAATTTGTTGTACTAAAATGTGTTTTTGTTGTTAGTTCATTTAGTTTTCGTCGAAAAATGTCACAAGTAACTTCAACTTTATCTTATTGTTTACTCAATTCCTGGCGATGCTCACTGAAATAAGTATAACAGACGATTTTCAAACGACGTTCAAATCTGGATATTTCTTTTGCTTTGTCACATATATCATAGAGATTTCTGTCAGTTGTCGCTGTTGTCATGTGTTGAATATGTATTTGATAAAAGTATGTTTTGAGAAACAAAAACAGAAAAGAATAAGAACAAAACAAAAGGTAGTATTATTTCACGTTAGCATGTCAATACAGATCACAATAAAATGAGTCATTGTTAAAACTTGCAAGTTGAAGTGAGCGGAACGTAAAACGATATCGTTTTTTACAATGCTTATGTAATTGAAAGATTCGTTCTCGATAATATTGCGGGCCATGTATATCTAGACGTCGTTTATTGAAAGAAATAATCTGACTCAGTATAGTACTGGGTAATCTTCATGAACAATGGGCTTGAATTCATTCAAAATTTTGATATGACTTGTCATTGAAAATTGTTGGTATTATATGCAAACGTCCATTCACTATTTACTCAGCTTTTTGGATAAAGGTAGGTCGTGCATATCTCTTTATATGATCCTTTCTTAAATTTTTTAACCATGCAAATAATCTTTCGAACCCATTGACTTAAATACTCCAACAGTATTTCGTTATGAAAACTTCGAAAGTGTCTCACATGATGTCATACATGTTAAAATAAAAACACCCAAGAGTTTATTATTATTTATACAAAATTAGAATTCATCATATATTCGTTCATTTTGAAGTTATATTTTGTAAAACGGAAGATGCATGATCATTAGATTTTTTTCTTTGAATCAGTGCTCTGAAAAAGTTATTTGATAAAAAAAACAACAAAAGTAAGTGACAGCAACGTTTGAATAGATAAATTGACTTTATCGAAACAACAGAAGAAGCATTATGTTTTCATCAACAATCACAAACAAAGGCGATAACATAAAATTCACTTTGTCAATTAAATACGAATATTTGAAGAAAATAGACTTTGTTTAGTTATGGATTTGGATCTAGGTCTAGGTTTAGTTGTCTCTTTGTTTGCACCGATATCCATGCCTACACCCTATATACATGTGATTCTGCAGCAACAACTGACTTTTTTTTAAACATTGCATCAAATACGAAGAACAATTGAAATTAGCCAAACATTATGCAGAACAATTAAAAGAAGAACTCATGAACGATAACGATAATGAAAGTGATTATTCTGTGTTAGTTGCCCAAAATACAAAATAAATTGCGAACGATATTCTGAAACATCGATCTTCCGATATTTTCGAAACAGGCTTTTACTTGAAAAAGATATATTAAGATCATGGCTGCACTCTCGCGAAAATTACAGGACTCTATCTATCTTCTATCAAAATTTATTCACATAATGACCATCAGCATTGTATTTTGCAACAGGTAGTATTCGTTAATAATATACATTAAACAACTTAAATACTAATCTATACTATATGGAAAAGGAAACAGATAGCTACACCTCATTACTTCGTAAACTGATGAATATTTGTTTTAGGAATGCCTTCGAACAGCAGAGTCAATGTATATCTAATAACATACATAATCACAACATGTTTTTCATTTACTTCTATATTACTTTATTCTTCCTCGTTAAATACATATAACAAATTCGTTTTTAGTCGCCAACAAACATGAGTAAATCAATATTTATTGATAAAGATCAGTGAACCACGTAAGATAGTCGTACTTATGCATTTCTTGTTCTGTAAAATGATATCGACACTTACTATGTTATGTTAAGATCGACGAAGGCAGATATATTTATACAATGATTAGTTTCATATAAATAAAAAAACAAGAATGAAGACTCAATCTAAGAAAATAAGTTTGGTTATTTGATAGAAAAAAGAAGAGAAAATGAAAAAGTATATGAAATGACATTGACACTAACACATTTTTATTAGAGTTTCGACATGATCTGTGCCATAACATGCAATGACAATGTCCATCCAACTATCTTGATTTAAGTCTTTGATTGCAATCGAATACGGACGATATCCATAGCCTAAAGCATAAGAAATTCCGTTTTCGAAAAGTCCATTTCCATATCCATAAAGTAGAAATATATTGTTAGTCCCAAAATTCGCAATGGCAATATCTGGTATATTATCATTATTGAAATCACCTACAGCAACTGTGCATGGTCGTGAACGAGCACCAGTTGAGTATGTCGCTCCAATTACAAACGTTCCGTTACCATAACCCAACAGAATAGCAATATTGTCAGTTTCAGAATTCGTAACAACAATATCCAATTGATTGTCCTTATTAAAATCAGCTACAGAAACAGAGTATGGAGCAGAACCAACTCCAGTTGAATATGTTGTTATAGTATCAAAAACTCCATGACTGTGTCCGAGTAAAATACCTACATTGTGAGTACCATAATTAGCTACGACCACATCTAATATACCATCGTTATTCAGATCACCAATAGCGATTGAATATGGCTGAGATTTAGAGCCCGTACTGTATGATGTTATACCGGCATAAGGCTCTCTATCATATGTAATAAAGATACTTATATCGTTTGATTTTTCATTTGCGACTGCGATATCTATCAGAGAATCATTGTTAAAATCGCCAATAGCTAACGCATATGATGCGGATCCTACACCAGTTCTATATGCGGTTCCTAGTAAAAAACTTCCATCTCCAAATCCAAATAGAACAACAATATCGCTAGTTCCATAATTAACAACAGCAATATCTAATATGCCATCATCATTAAAATCCCGAGCTTCAACAAATAGTGGAGAAGAGCCATCTCCAGTGTAAAATGTTGTGACAGGATCAAAACTACCATTTCCACATCCAAGAAGAATACCGACATTATTCATACCATAATTACTACTAGCGATATCAAGTCGATTGTCTCTATTGAAATCCCCAACAGTTATCCAATACGGCATAGATTGATAACCCGTTGAATAAGTCATTTGACTTGTAAAACTTCCATTTTCATAACCTAAAAAAATACTAATACTGCCAGCATAAAAATTAGCTACGGCGATATCTGTTTGACCGTCATTATCAAAATCACCAACTGCAATAGATGCTGGGTCGGCACCATGTTCAATCGGATAAGTAACTATGGCATCGAAAGTCAAATTACCGCGTCCAAGTAGAATACCTATATTTTTAGTAGCAGAGTTGGTCACGACAATATCGGCCCGACCATCATTGTTCATATCGGATAAGACGATCGCAAACGGAGTAGAACCCTCTCCAGTTGAATATTTGATGATGGTAGCGAAACTTCCATTACCATATCCAAGAAGGATACCTATGTCATTAGTGCCTGAATTAACTACAGCAATATCCATTTGTCCATCATTGTTAAAATCATGACCAACCAATGATTCAGGTCCTGAGCCATTTCCAATCGAATAAGTCATCATAACACCAAAACTTCCATTACCATATCCAAGTAGAATACCTATGTTATCACTCAAATGAAAAGCAATGGCAATATCTAGATATTTATCATTGTTAAAATCACTAGTAATAATATTATGTGGTCTTCTAGTATTCTCACTGGAATAAGTCTTTTGACTTTGAAATGTTGTATAATGAAATCCAAGAAGTATACCTATACTATCTGTACCTGGATCAGCAATGATTAAATCCGATCGATCGTCGTTATTGAAATCATTGATAGCTACTGCCAACGGATATGAATCTTTGCCAGTTGAATATACACGTGGGATATCAAAGGTTCCATTACCATGTCCCATAAGTATACTAATACTACTACTCTTTGAATTAACAGTAACTATATCTAAATGATTATCCTTGTTGATATCACCAGCGAGAACATATCGTGGAAATGAATCAGCACCAATAGGATACGTTATTTGCGTTTGAAATGTACCATTACCCGAATTGAAAAGTATATCTAAATTATCACTTCCTGAATTGACGATGGCTACGCCTATGTAACTATCATCATTGAAGTTACCAACAGTTACAGAATACGGCTGTGGAGCCGAACCAGTTAAATATGTATTTTTATTCGCAAAATCTGCTGCAGCATATTCAGTTAAAACACCAACTTTCCCCTTGCCCCAGAGAGTAACAACAATATTTATTTGATTGCTGTTCTTCAGCTTGGCAGTGGCAACGGCATATGAACCCGAACCAAAACCAGTAGAATACCTTTTAGCAAGTTGGAAACTGCCGTTACCGTATCCATAAAAGATAATTATTTCGTCATTAGCAATATTACTTACGACGAAATCATGCTGATGATCATTGTTAAAATCAGCAATAGCCATGCCGTAAAGGCACGAAGTGGAACCAGTCGAATATGTTGTCATATCTTGAAAAGCTCCATTTCCATATCCAAGGAAAACACTAACAAAACCAGCTTCTTGAGTAGAGACAATAATGTCCAAATGATTATCATTATTCAAATCAACAAGATTGACGCTATTTGGACAAGAAGACCTGTCAACAAAATACGTTATTGCATGAGAAAAAGTTCCATTACCATGTCCAAGAAGGGCACCCACATTGTCAGAACTGCAACCAGTGATGACAAAATCCAACTGTTCATCATGATTGATATCACCAACAGCAATATATTCCGGCTGAACAAAAATATTAGCATAGTATGTCGTTGCGTTAGCAAAAGTTCCATTGCCATGCCCGAGAAGAATACCGAAACCGTCAGATCCGTAATTCGCAGTGACAACATCTAATTGGTTATCATTATTGAAATCTCCAACAGCGACCGACCACGGGTTAGAGCCATAGCCCACAAAGTAGGTTGTCACATCAGAAAATGTTCCATTGTCTTGTGCAAGAAGAATACCTATACTGTTAGAACCGTAATTAGCCGTGACAATATCCATTCGATTGTCGTTGTTAAAGTCACCAATACATAAATAGTTTGGAGCTGATTTATTTCCGGTGGAATATGTTGTTGTTCGCTCAAAAGTTCCATCATTATTACCAGTTAGTAAAAGTAAATTATCATCGTTAAGATTATTAACCAATAAATCTAATCGATCATCATGGTTAAAGTCATAAATAACGACTGAAGACGAGCGGGAATCTTTTCCAACAAGATAATTCGTTTGCCTTACCGATGGTTTTATAAAATATTGAGTAAGAGGAAATTCGTATAAGAAATCCGGCCAAAGATTGCTTATTTGAACACCTCACTCATCTTCAATTTGGATTTGTTCGCTTTTTACTAACCACTTCTCTTCACTGGACATCCAGTATTAAAATAAATTTTTTAAAGAAAGTCCTTCGTTGTTCAACTGCAGCGTTTTTTTATTCCATTAAAACCACACTTTATTGACTAAGCGTATGACAAGCAGACATGAAATACGTATTCAGAATAAACACGTTGTTGAATCCTAGTAACTCTCAGTTGATCTCGTCACAGTTTGATAGAATCCATTTAACAAGATTTGCATACTTTCGAACAGTTGGAATTTAGTATAAAGTTAGTCGTGAAATTATTTATGATTCTCTCCAATCCGGCAGCTTTTTTGCAAGTGTCTGATGGGATTCATAATTCAGATCCTTTCCCATCAGTATATATAGGACACAACACCAAAATATACGTTGTCTAGCTCACATAATTCATTCATTTATGAATGAGACACCATGGAATTCCATACCAAATAGTTTATAAACACTGCTAAGACTTCTCGAAAGTTTTTGAGAATAGCGAAGCAAATCGTGATAAGTACACGAACATTCACATATTTTCGTCTCCTCTTCCTCTTAGTTCGAACCTATCCGGTTCTGACAAACGCTCCCTGCTCTCTTTCTTCTAGATGTACTTTATCAATGGTCCTTAAGTATAAGTACATTATTAGTATCATAGTTAGCTATAGCAATATCTGATTGATTATCATTATC